TTGGTTAACAACTAAATGGTTTATCTAATGTATATAGTCTCTCCCTTCAGAAGCAAAATGTCTAAAAATGTAATAGACTTTGAAATTTAAATAGTTTCACTTACTCATAGGCTCTGGTAGTTTTAAATAAGGCAGATCCTCTAGTTTGAGAGAATAATGGTTTAGCCTTGATGCAAAACAGACATGAACTAAGCACCATCTTCACTCTGCTCCCCTCTGGTATCTTGAGCTGGGCTACCCTTTGAACAGTTGAGATTTGATGAGAGCAACTCTGATGCATGTCTGGTTATCTCCTTGGATTTAATATGTGAGACCATCAGTGTGTGTGTGTGTGTGTGTGTGTGTGTGTGTGTGTGTGAGAGAGAGAGAGAGAGAGAATATGAGGAGGAGGAAGAGGAGGAGAAAGAGGGAAGAAGAAGGATATGTCTGCTTATTTTCCTATCATCCCTACACTAGACTTTCAGGCATAGAACCACAGAGATATGTTTCTTTGGCATTTTACTCAGTTCCTGCAGAATTTGTAATCTACTTAATAATAGTCTTATCTTAAATACAAAGGTGGGGCAAGTTTCAGTAAGAAGATAATGAACTTCTACTCATTGCATGACCTCCCTGAAAAGTTAGCTCAATATGTAGATCAGAAAAATTAGCCTGACCCATTCAGGTTTGTATTATCTGATATGGTTAGTAAATTATGATTGGGATTGTGCAATAGAAGTTATTTCAAATTATGCAGCCCTTTGAGCAAACTTTATTGAAGATTTTACTGCATTGGCCCTAATTACTCACAGTAATGATGCACTGCTCCCTGGAATGAGACCTTCCTTGTGCCAGGGGACTGTGGCTGATCAATGGCTATCGAGCAGTTTGATCAGGAAGGCTGAGCTGCCTGAGAGCAGTTTGATCATGAAGGCAGCCACCGCCATCCCTTCCTCCCAGTAGCTCACAAACTCACATCTTCTCAGTCTGGCCACCCACTCCTGGAACCCCTCTTCTACACCCCGCCTTCCAAATCAATAACTTCATAATCAGTATGCCTCCCAGACTCTGAGAAGTGGAAAAATTGCCTTAATGCATGAACGCACACACACATACACACACTTGAGCTAGAAGATATATTTAAACCTCTGAACTGCCTTCATTTCTCCTATATTATAATGTTTATAAAATAAAGTGGAAAATGTTCCTTTTTTTCTTTATAAAATAAAATGGGAAATGTTTCTTCTTTTTCTTTTTCCAAAGATCACCTGTTTGAAAAAGTCCTGGTGGAACCATAGACTAACTAATTACTTGGCAAGTATTTACCCAACAGACCCCCTCATGTCTGTCAAATGTTTTCCATTTGATTGTTTAGCAGTTCCAAGGCTGACCATCCTTTTCTCAGATGTCTCCCACGACACTGGGTGCTGGATCAGCACGCAGCTGCTGACTCGCAATCATTCATTTCAGTCAGTGGTGATTTACTGAGCAGCTACTATGTGTCAGGCACTGTACCAGAAATTTTAGCATCCATTAATTTCAAATGAAAGAAATTTCTAATTAATGCAATTATTTCGGTATTTTTTTATCTCAATAAACTCAAGTTAATTTTGCTGAATAAGCCCCTTATATTTTTACTGTTCTTTCTTTTTTTTATTTTTTTAAAATATATTAATATATTTTATTGATTTTTTTACAGAGAGGAAGGGAGAGGGATAGAGAGTTAGAAACATCGATCAGCTGCCTCCTGCACACTCCCTACTGGGGATGTGCCCGCAACCAAGGTACATGCCCTTGACCGGAATCGAACCTGGGACCCTTGAGTCTGCAGGCTGACGCTCTATCCACTGAGCCAAACTGGTTAGGGCTACTGTTCTTTCTTTTATTGCCCTTTGCACTTGTCTGGATCTTCAAAACCATTCTCTAGAAAGGAAGACTTAGTGGAAAATAAGTGGATTTCTCTATACATCCACAGGTAATTCTAGATGACCTTGCTTATAGTGAGAGATGAGTAAGGGGATTCTAAAGAAAACAAAAAAATAAGCGAGTTGTCTCATCAGAAATGTAGATGACCAATGCACAAACACCCAATCGAATGAAATCAAACCCAGAAAAGATTGATCTCCTGCTGTGTGCCTGACACTGTTGGGCTATCCACCCGATCAAATTATGAGTTTTGCTCACTGTTCTCTAAAAAAAGTAGGAGTCCACAGTTAGGGAGAAAGCAACCTGCCTTGGCTAATGTTGAGCCTATGACAGAAGTAGGATTCCATTGGAAACCAGGTGGTCAATCAAGAAGTTGGGTCCAGTCCCACTGCACGACCTCATGCAATTGCAAACTGCAGAGATTCTGAGGTTTCTCTGAATCACACTGGACACGAGCCCCGCCTGTGGGACCTAAGCTCTCTCCGGTTTGTAGGAAGCGGCAAATCTGTGGAGAGCAGAATCTCAGGAAGGTCTGGCCACCAGCACCGGGTTGGATCTCTGGCTTCTTTCCCCTCAGAAGTTCTGCTCAGCCACCTGAGACCCAGAAGTGGACCAGATCTGTGAAATTCTCATGAGGGTCTCAGTTTAGCACTGCCTACAAATAAACAACAGCACGTTCTTGCATCCTGAAACAGGAGAGCTGTGGCTCAGCTCTGATTACCAGACAGGCAGGTTGAAAAGTTCAAGACCCACCTGTTTCTATGCCCCTTTGGCATATTTGTAAACTACTGAATGCAAATAGAGTCCACAGGAGGCTGGGATCCCAAGAATGTGCTCTCGCACACTGATTGGAACAAGTTCAGGGGGAAGAAAATAGGGGACCACCTGTCTGTCTTTTGCCCCTGGGAAATATCTGTGCTTGGCAAGCAAAGGCGGAAACATGCAGGCTAATTTCTAAATCCATAAAGGGAGGTCTCTGGAGCTTAACCGACAAGGGCGAGGAAGCAATTTTCTGGGTAGGCAGTGCAGACTGCGGCCCCAATCTTTCGCTCCAGCTGAGTGATAGCTTCCCGGATTTCCAGGTAGGACATCAGCTCCCACTTCCGGGACTGTCACATTGCCCCCCCCTTGCCTGCACCCCCTGTCCCCGCTCCCCCGCCCAAGGAGCTGCTGATCCATCAAGACTCAGGATAGCTTCCTCCCATTCCTCCCTGTGTTCCCTCCTCTGACCTCTCCTGTACTCCTCACTGACATTGTTTACCTGACATTTCCACCAAAAACTTTTCATTTCACATCTAGCATGTGAAAGATGTGAAGATTCATGATCATATTTGAGAGATGATCCCATGCTTTCAGAGCAAGATTTCCCAAATGGCTGGTGAGAACACCATTTCCAAAGAGATGCTGAGAGCTATTTAAGAGCTATTTCATGAAAAATAGGATTTTAAGAGGTATTTCATGAAAAATAGGTTTTGTGGTCAGATGAGACTGTGAAATTCTGAAATTCTGTGTCTCTCCATCCAGGAGCCTCACAATGAACTGGTCAATTAAAGGCTCTGAACAGCTCTGCAGGAAGAAATCAGATGTAATAATACAGCATTCCCCACATTCATTTAACTATGGAAACATCTTTTATCACAAAACACCTACTAATATTTTGCTGAACTCACTTTAGGAAGTGACCTTCCAAATACCTTTTCCTATTATATCAATTAGACTCATTTTCTAATTACCAATAATTTCCATGAAGGAGGCAGGTATGTAGACAAGTTGAGTTCTCAGCTAAAAAGAAAAAAAAAGCAACCTGCTGACTTAGAATAAGTTTGGTGTGAATATGAATAACCAGTCTCGCCCAGCTGGTCATGACCAGGAAGTTATGGTTCATTTCCAGATCAGGGCACATGCCCGCATTGCGGGCTCGATTCCCAATGGAGGCAGCTGATCAATGATTCTCTATCATCATTGATGTTTCTATCTCTCTCTCCATTTCCCTCTCTGAAGTCAATAAAAATACATTTAAAAAATAATAATCAGTCTCTTCTTGGGTTTCTAATCATAATAGTCATTTCTAAATACTGCTATATGCTTAACATTGACCAATGCATTAATTCAACAAACATTTATGAAATGGGCCATCATTCCATGTGCTGTGAGATAGCAAGAACCTAAATCATGGATTCTACCTCAGAGTTATGTACAAGTCTTTTGAGGAAGAAGAGGTTAAATAGAGGACATTTTTCATGTGGAAGGTGAATGCATAGTACAGACACTGGATGCTGCAGTCATTTGAAAGCGGTGTGGCCTCAAAAGTCTGTGGGGTGCATGTAGGAATTGAGTAAACCTGTCCTCAAAGAAAGGAGTTAAGCCAAGTCCAAGGCCTACCTTCCTTTCAGTTGGAATGAGTGTGGCAAATTGGGGGCTGGTGCAGGGATTGGTGAGAGGGAGTAGAGGAAGGCAAAGCTTCACGGGTATTTGAATAAGGAATTTATATTTTATCACCTGCCTGTGAGGAGTCTGGTGACTATTGAGGGATCCATGACATCATGAGGGTAGAATGAATCAAGGCCTCAGGGAACTCTGATTACTGTCTCCTAACCCTGGAGAACAAGATTGGGAAATGCAGTGGTTGGGAGCATGGGACCAGGACCTGGGTTGGGATCCTGACTGTGCACAGGTTCTCGGGGCAAGTTCCTTTACTCTTAGCTTCCTCATCTGAAATGAAGACACAAGCATTTATTTTACAGAGTTTTTTATGAGTTACATGAGGTAGCATATATAAGGATGCTGAGATTTGTAATTACTAAAGCTTGACAAAGAGTAATTGCTATCATTATTTGCTGCTTACTAGATGGGCATGTGTTAGGATAAACTGGAAAGCTTCTTCAAGAGGACTTTGCCACTAGTTTCAAGGTGACCTCCATCCTTGTTAAACCTCCTCCCACTTGAAAAATCCGGGGCTGCAACAGCTCACCTGCTCAGTGGGGCAGGTTGGCTAAGCAGAGGACTCTTACCTGTACTCCACAGCACACTCCCAGGAGGTCTTCTCCACGCCCACCTTCTCTGGGGTGAACCCAAAGCATCTGAAAAGTGCTCACCTGCATCTGAGGTTGCTGCAGACGCAGCGAGGAGAGATAACACTGGGGTAGGTGGGATTGCAACACTGTCAACCGCAGCTGGCTTCTTCCTGGTCATCATGGTGGACACGGAGCCCTCGTTCTTACTATGCGTTGCCGTCTGGTCCACTTTTAAGTGGGGACTTGGCATCCCTGAAAAACAAGAACCCCAAAGCCTGCAGTTATTTTGAAGAAACAGGAAGACAGACAACATAAAAGCTGAAAGTGATCTGAGAACATTCTTAAATGATCTGACCTCCTTCTGGTATAAGAATAACATTTTAGAATGTTCAAAGAAAAAAAAATTAGCAGCATGACTGGTTTTGGTTTTGTGGCTAAAGTTAGTGGTGAGGACATTCCAGGTTGCTGCCTGGAAGTGGTGTCAGGGCACAGGCCTAAAGAAGCAGTATACTCCTCCACCAGGCATGCTGTTGCCTGCTGAGGATCACAAAGGCCATCTCTACGGAGGTTGTGCTGTGTGCAGCATGGCGAGGAGAAGTGGGACCCACCCTTGTGTGGCTGCTCCTCTCAGGCAGCAGGGGAGACAAGACTAAATGAGAAGAAGTTGTTGGGCAGCAAGTATGGGCAGGCTTGCATGTCCTTCATCCTAGGTGCTTGGGGAGTTCTACGCAGGTAGGGACTCATGTGAAAAAAAGTAAGAAAAGGCTTTCCAGAGGTCGCGCTAGAACAGCAAGAATGAGGGATAGTCATATGATGCCATAGATGGAGAAAGGAAGAGGATCTAGATGAGGACCAGCCTGCTGGAGGTGGAAGACGCACTGTGGGGACTGCTGTGTAGCAACAGTCACTGAGCTAAGCAAGAGCAGACATGGGACCTGGGAGTGTCTGGCCACGACAACCATCATAAGTCATGCCTTTATGGTGCCGAGAAGCCTGGGAAGGCTCTCGCGAGGTGCCTCTGGAAGGGCCTGGATATTCACTATATGACAAATCTTGGAGCTATTCTGGAACCACGTTTCCTGGGCTGGAATCCAGGCTCTTGTACTTTCCAGCTGTGTGATCACGAGCAAGTTACTTAACCTCTCCAAGCTCTGAGCTTCCTTAACTGTACAAATGAGATGGAATGCTCTCCTAGGGGTGGTTGGGAGCATCCAGCAGTCAGTCTCCATAAAGTGCTTAGACCAGTGTCTGGCACACAGTTGATGCTATGTAACTGTTTCCCATTATTATTATTCCTATTATTGCAACTATCACTAATATAACCCACTGCTTCCTCAGGCCCAGCTGAAACAAGGCAGCCAGGTGTCCTTTCTCTTCCCTGACAGGACCAAGGATCTCTGAGCACCTTCCACATCCCAGCTGCATAATAGTGACTCTCCGACTCACCCGAGCATAAGTGCAGAGGCATGGAAGTTCTGTATCCATGTCAAACAGTCTATAGCAGCGGTTCTCAACCTGTGGGTTTCGACCCCTTTGGCAGTCGAACGACCCTTTCACAGGGGTCGCCTAAGACCATCCTGCATATCAGATATTTACATTATGATTCACAACAGTAGCAACATTACAGTTATGAAGTAGCAACAAAAATAATTTTATGGTTGGGTCACAACATGAGGAACTGTATTTAAAGGGCCAGAAGGTTGAGAACTACTGGTCTATAGACTAGAAAATTGACTCAGAGTTTCTTCATATGCAGGCTCTATGCCACTGGCAGCAACAAACAACATGGGGGGCTTTATCATGTGATCCTTTTTGTCCCATCCCAAGTAACCCGAGTGATACAGTCCCCTCCCGGAGTAACATTATCTTCCACCACAGGGATCAGCTCCCTCGGGCCTAATGACAGTGGTGATCCATGTGGTGAGGAGGTTACTATTTTCTTCATTTTACAGATGAGAGCAACAGATTTCTGAGAGGTTAAGAGAGAACTGACCAAACTCAGACAGCTCCTAATGTCAGAGCTGGAAGTTTCCAAGTAGCCAGATCATCCTGCTCCACCTGCCCACGACCCCAATCTTCCAATGGCCTGTTTCTTGCCAGGATGCAGAGGTCCTTGTACTACACCTGGAAAAGGCACTCTTCCAGGAACCTAAGTTAGAACCATGTGTCCATGCTGACATTTTCATTTCCCTTCCACTCCCGTCCCCCAACTCTCCATCCCAGTCTCTGAACCTCCCGCATCAGATGCTGAGAATAATAGGTTCTTTTGGATTTTATATTTCACAGCATTTTGACAGTGAATGTGGACAAACATGAAATTCTATGATAGAAAGACTGCAAAGTGCAACCATCTCAGAGTCAAGAAATGTGTGTAGAGTGTCCATGTTTCACATATGCAGGTGTGCCAGGGACAGGTGAGTGCACATGTATAAACATGTAACATGACACAGAATCATCCACAAGGACATGCACCCAAACAGTTCACACACACAAAACTGTTTATTCTAAGGACAGAAAGCACAGGGAAGATTGGTGGGGAAGGGGGAGTTTTTATTTTTATTCCTTAGCCTGTGTTATTGTTAATATATTTAGAATCACAAACATGTATTAAACTCTTGTTCCAATGAGAAATAAACATACTTTGAGAAAAATCTACAAGTCTATACCAGAGCATGGGTATTGGGCAGATGGATGCATCTGAACAATTGGCTGCTAACAGATTTGAAGTGGAAACAACAGCCCTGGGTCTGATACAAATTCTCCACTTTGATACGGGGCAGGACCACGGCCGTGTGTGTTCCCATCAGATGGACGCAGGCGCACTGTCCACAGCTCACCTCTAAGCTCTCAGAGGGCTACTGGACAACAGCTCCTGTGGAAAACTCACTAATACGTCAACTTTGTACCTGTGGACCCAGGTTGGGCAAGTCATTCTTTGCTCGAATTATGACATGCTCAGAGAATGAGCCATAAACAGGATTAGCAGGTGGATATTTAACTCTCACGTGGGAACAAACTGATTTCAAGTCATTTTGGTTGTACCCATTTTCATGCAAATGTTCCCAATCCAAATTAGTCTCAGTCCACATCATTTCATTAAAGTTGATCTGATCATATCTCTATTGGGCATACTTTGCTACTCAAGTGTTTATGTTAGAGAATATGTTAGAAGTAATAAAATGACACTTAAAAACACTCTATAATTCAGATTGTCACTATTTAGCTGTCTTGAAAACTCTAGATAATTTAGGGTTTTCTATTATAGTACTGTTTGCTAGCTGCCATCCAATGAATTTGAAAACAAATTGGAAAAAAAAGGCGGGGGGCAGCAAAGCCCTGATGTTTTTTCAGACATTATTGGGTTTTGAAAGGATTATGGAAACATTCCAAGGAATACAGTAAGAATAAGGGGTAAGAATACTGGGTAAGTTTTAAACAAAGGCTAACCTAACAGCACTTGCAATCCACAAATTTTGCCTGAGAGTAGAGGTCTCAGGAGACCAGAATGAATGACTTCTTGGGAGAGAGCATGGGGCAGGCTGGCCCCTGCAAATCTTTGTTCCCCTTCATTCCAGGTGGCCACTGACGCTCCATGGAGACATCCCCAAATGGCCAGGTGAATGTGAAACAGTCCAGAACCAAGTTCTCAAGACGAAAAGGCTTTCATCTGGGAAGGGACCACTATGTCAAATTCAGACCCCGACTGCGTGGACAGCACACTCGGTAGATGTGTTCAGAGCATCCCCAAGCCCCAGTGCAGGACAAATTGTACTGCGGCTTTTGTTTGGAGGCCAGCGCGTTTGTAAAGGAGGAAATAACAATGCTAATAACTCTGTGGATCCAACATCTGTTCATAATTAAAGACAGAGCCAAGAGGAAATAAAAAAAGCTAAGCCTATATGAAAACATTCTGTTATGACCTGTTGACCTCTATTGATACATTTTGTTCAAAGTCTTTGAAACTGTGCCGCAGCCTGCCAAGGGACAGGCACTCATTTTCAAAGGTAATTTCTCATAGAGCACTTATCCCCTCAAACCTCTACCTGCACACCGTGTTTGCATTAGGGACTTGATTTATGGATTCCTACTCCTCCAACGCAGGAGCTGACTTCCTGTTGCCTTGGTTACCTGGAGCTCAGTTCAAGGTTAAAGTACTCCCAAATCAGAATCAGAGGCAGGCGCTGCATAGAGCGGCCAGGTTATTGACTGCCCCAGGATGCGAAAAGGTCAGAAACCAAAGCACTGCTTACTGCCTTCAGGGTGAGTCAATAGCTTCGATATTTTGATTCTGTTTCCTCCAAAGTAGCAGTTGCTGTTCAATTACCTCTTCCCCAGGTTGCTCAAGGTCACAGGGGTCACAGAGGAAAAGCAGGCTCTATGGGGGCTAGCTTTCCCAGGATCCCTTTAATAACCTCTGTGACCCTGGCTAATAAAAACCAGCCTCACCCTAGAGTAATTATAAAGCTAGTTATCTTCTTTATCTCATTTTCTTTATGGGAAAAACAAACAAACAGAAAACCTTTGTGGGATGGCTATTTACTCCACCTTTTCTAGATGGAAAAAAAAATGGAGGTTCAGAGAGGCTACTCAACTTATCTAAAATTACATAGCTCTTAAGAGGAGGTAAGAACTAGTTGGGTCCTCATCTCTTAAGTTTTTTTAAAATGAAGGGACTGATGGGACCATCACCCAGGGATCATCTGTAATTCATTTTGTAGCATCCACTGCAGATAGTGTATATCTGGAAAACAGCATGTGATTAATATAGGCTTGTTGAACACCTTAAGTTTTTTAATTGTAAGATATGCAAGTGCAGATGTTTCCTGGTGACAAAGGCCAGGCAGGCACAATGGGAGAGGCTGACACCTGCAGTTAACTCCCTGGCCACCTTTAGGTGGCAGAATGCAGGGCTGGGCATGGACTGGAAGGTATGCTATATTGAGCAGTCAGTGGCTTTTAATCTTTCAAAGAACTTGGGCATGCATTGTGCAATTTGCCCCTTGCAACATCCGTGTGGGTAACAAGAGGCAGATGGTGAAACTCCAAATTCACAAATAAGGAAACTGAGGCACAGAGGACTAGGTGGTTTGCCCAAGCTCACATGTCATGTGTGCGGAAGAAGTGTTAAAATCCATGCCTCTTGATTCAACGCAATGCTCTTTTCCTTTCCTAGAACACATTGACTTTTGGGTAAAGCAGTAAATAACCTTTTTCACAAGAGGAAACTGCTCCTAAAAACTTGATAATAATCC